TTAAAAAAAACGGATTTGCTTTTTTTTTTTTTTTTAAAAAAAAATTACATTTTTATCAAATATGTATACAGTTAATTAGGGTCATTACGAAAGTAATGTGGTACGGGATTTTCCAAAATATATCCTAACTCCATTCGAATATTTCTATCATGAGTTAAAATACAATTTAGAGACATTGTATTTTGAATAGGATTTGCCATTGCTTGCATTGTTTGTCCTAACTGAAATGATCGACGTTGATTCAAATTTACTAATAACAGATAACAGATAATAATAAAATATTTCATTATTATAATAATAATAATAAATTGTAAAACATATAAATAAATATTTGAATCTTACATGCATATCTTTGAGGTCTAATGTAATATAAATTTCTTCTAGCAACGTCGAAAAGACCTTGATTCAATCTTCTATTCGGTCGATGCACTATGTACAAATTATATTTAAAAAATTTTGAAAATTACAAATAAACCGACCACTTAAGCCGACCACTTAAAGAATATATGCTACTTTACCATTATTAAAATTTATCTGACGCCATCTTTTAATAAAAAAGTTATATAATTTAATGTAAATGCTAAGTTATAAGCAACGCAGTAATTTATGATTGAACAAACCTTGCTTGGCATTCTGTTGAACTGCGGGTCCTAACTTCAAGGGAAATACGATTCCAATTACGGGCCCCAAACCGATCTACAGCAGTTATTAATCGGCTATCTTCCTATTTATATGTATATATATGTATTCATTGTTAAAAATTATTATTTTTTTTTTTTAAAAAAAAAGAAATAAGAATATAAAACTAAAAGTTTATTTACACCAGGTGTCCACTGGTTTCTAATCGAAACTACTAATAAGTTTGTTTGATTCATCTTTTACTATTAAATAAATAATGTAAAAAGAATATGTATAAACCCATAAAACCCATAAGATAAATATCTTGAATCGTTCTGAAAAAAATGGGATAAAATAAAAATGATTTTTGATTATCATATTTTTATACCTTTTTTTTATTTTCTTTTTTT